GTACGTCTCTCTCTCTCTCTCTCTCTCTCTCTCTCTCTCTCTCTCCTCTCTCTCTCTCTCTCTCTCTCTCGTCTTATTTATTGTAATTTGCTTACAGGCTGCCAAGAATGCTCACCTTCAGAAGTTTGAGGTCCCTGCAAAGATCAAGTTGCTTCCAGATCCATGGACACCAGAATCCGGCTTGGTCACTGCAGCTCTCAAGCTCAAAAGAGAAGCCATCAAGAAGGCCTTCGCAGAGGATCTTTCTAGTTTATATGCATGAACTAAGAATGATATTTAATGGATCCCATTGGCCTGCAAATTTTCCAGGTAGATATCTTGTATCTTCATGATATGCGACATATTCCATTGGTATGCATATTACCACTTGCATTACTGGTGATAACAAACGGCATATTCCATGGATCTCATTTGTTAAAATTTCTCAAAATAAATTATTCTCGAGTATTTCACAGTAATGAATGGCAACATCAAGCAACCTATGTTTTTTTTATTTTACTATGTTATTAATCCAAGAAGACTAATAATTTATCTGTTATAGGTAAGAAAATAAAGAATAATGATCAATTTTGGTGATTATCTAGGCAAAGCCTGTGGCATTTCTCAGGCCACACTTATAAAATATGTGTGGACCTTAGGCTGTATATTTGCAGTTGGCAAGTGTTTTTAACATTTCTTTCCGTCAGCCTTAAAGGTGACCCTTTAATTTGAACAATTTATTATGAAAAACAAAAGGGCCAATCAACGTATTTTTTTCTATACTAATGGCTTAGGTTTTGGCGGTAGTATTGCAGAGCCCCACAGTGAGGCCTTTGGCTTCATTCTTACCAAAGGGTAGCAGCCCAAATCCCCACTAGCTTTACCATTCTACTTACCAAAAAAAAGGGTTTTGATTCATTAACCATTTCACTGCAATTAACAATTGCCAAGGGATGCCAAACCATGTATATCAACAGTCTGACAGGTGCTCTTGTGAATGAGCATGTACACTATGCTCAAGGGAGCGTAGTTTACTTCTACTCGCCTGGTTATAAGAACTATTTGGGAGGATTTTTTCGGTCACAAATTTTGGGAACCACTTAACAATTATTAGATGATTATTCGTAAAAAGAAAACAAATTGAAAATTTGATTTTTTTGACACTTAGATCTCACCATTTGAAAATTGGATGGCCTCTATTCATTCTCGAGATGTTATATTTCTCGAAGTGCATAGAGGGTACAATTAGGATTTTTTTTAATTAAGGTTAATCTATGCATTGAAGAGGTTAAATTCCGAAAATTTGGGGTCCCAATATAAATTCTAAATAGGATTTTACCTGCAGGAGTAGATGAGCATTCTACTCCCACAGGACATCTTCTGGCTTTGTGACTTATATTCACCTCATATAAAAGATATGATTGGAATTACTTTGAAAATAGACGATTTGTTTTATTTAGAAAGGTGCATTAAAGAAAAACACGAGCATACAAGGCGAATGTGTCAGATAGTGTGTCCTTTGGGTGTATTACTTCTGTACAGGTACTGCCTCGGGTGAAAGAGCTACTTTGAGGAGTTTTTTGACATAAAGTTGTGGTATCCATGTAAAAATCACCGGATGATTAATTTTCGAAATAGGAAATTTGGAATTGAGTTTTTTTATGCTTGGATTTGACTGTCTAAAGTTTAGACGGTCTTTGTTCAATCTCAAATTTTGCCCTGTACTTGTATGATGATTTTGAATGATCGGTAAAGAGCTTGGGTAGCCAGTGCAAGAACTCGGGTTCGAGTCTTGAGAGTGGCCGCTTTGTGCATAAGCCAAAAGCTAAAAACGGCCCTACTTAAGCAGGAACAGCACTAGGTTATAGCCCTATTTGTATGATTATTCCTTGTGCATTTCCTCGTTGAGGATAAAATGAAATACCCATATCACCATGCTGCATGGTGCCCCCAAAAGTCTTAAATTTTTTCTTCGTTTGTAATTTTTGTTAGTTGGGGTATACAGGTATATACTAGAGAGAGCTTCATACCATTAGATTGCAAACCCTAAAGGTGTGTTTGTTTGGTGGGATATTAATAATATAATTTGGGCTATGGAATATAAAATTTTCAATATAAATTTATCAATAAAATGTCATGTAAAAATAAGTGCAAATAATAGTGCGAATGGACATAGCTCCCCAGACTTTAAAAAAAAATTCAGAAGAACTTATAAAACAAAGGTTTTCAGACTTCTTAACAATTCCAAGCAGCTGATCAAATGCAGTATTTGTTTGCTTTACCTCCCAGGAGGTTCCAGCTTCTATGGAAGTCGATCTTTCATCTCCTATGAGATTCCAGTTTACAGTTATCAAACAGGCCCTAAGTCTTTTGGGGACAAATGCCTGATAATGATCAGTGTGAAAATTTATTCATGCAAAGCGAAAAAACCTCCCCACATTGAAGCGTTCCCTGACTTCAAACCTCTCTGCTGTATAAATGTAGAGAATTCTCCAATATTGTGTTGGCCGCTACTGAATTATGCAATGAAAGAATCTTATCCAATATACTAGTTCGACAAAATATTCACTGCATAATCAATACAATGTCATTTCTCTGTTAAGATATTTTGAGATTTTTCTCGGGCCTCATTTTGAATGTAAAAAATGTATGAACAAAAGGGCCGAGATCTGATGCATAACATATTGATCTCAATTGAGAAGGCAAATCAGCTGCAGATCATATGTGATCCATCCATTTTGATTACCCACTTGCTTATTTTCATAACTAAGTAGCAGGAAAAAATTCCCAAGCAAGAAGCTCCTCATTCAATAAATAGAATGCCATTTTTCTTAACCAAGGTCTGTTTTACCAAATCCCGCGATCGAGAAACCAACCTACTTGAAGGGCACGTTTGATTCACATGAAATATTTTTCTTGGAGTTGGATTTCTCAAGCTTTTTTTTTTACTTATAATTTCATAAATCTCTAAGAAAGATTACAAATATACAACAAAAGAGTTGGATTTCTCAAGCTTTTTTTTTTTGGACAAGAGTACTTATAACTCATAAATCTCTAAGAAAGATTACAAATATACAACAAAAATAAAAATCAAAGCAGTCTTTCAGCAACAACCAAATCAACAAATTGAGCCCCTTTTGTAGATAAATCATCTGCTATCAAATTTGCCTCTCTCTATAAACATGTTGGACTGAGACTATCATCTGAGCAATAATATCCATGATCTCCATCCACTTTCCCTTCAAGCTCCATGGTACCCTAGCATCCTTATTGCACCAGCTTGTAATGTTCATCGACTCTCCTTCAACAATAAAAGGCCATGTTCTATATCCGCTCAAAAGCAACACGCAGCCCCTGTAAAACTGCTTCCATTTCTGTGTAATTCGCTGATGTCATACCACATGGTCCTGCATAACATAAAAGTACCTCACCATGACCATTTCGTATAACATTGCCATATCAATCTATACCCGGATTCCCCCATGAACCACCATCAAAATTCAATTTTAGTGTTCCATTACTTGCACTATCCACACATATTCCTCCATCTACTCCTCAGCATCCTTTGGTGCATCAAATTAGAAAGATTAACTGTAACATCCACTTATGATATCCCAAAACCCTCTTTTGTAATTGAAAACCATCTCCTAATACTGTGTATAATTCTCCTTTTCATCGCACTTAACTCCACACCTTTATCTTCAAATACTCTTATTTCTTTCTTTCCAGATCTCCCATAAAACCACCGCCTTGACAATCTGCCATATCTTTCCACCAAATTTTGAAAGAATTCTCCCATCCCAATGTTCCAAAATGTCAACATGTGTACTAGGAAGCACCATTGACATTCCCATTAATAAAAAAATCCGGCTTTATAGTCCTGGACAACTTGAAAAAAGGTGATCTCCACACTCTGCATCATTTTTACATAAAATACACACATTGACTAATATTTTTCCCCTCTTTATTAAGTTATCAACTGTTTAGGTTTTTCCTTGAAATAAGATCTATAAAAAACACAAACCTTCACGGGTCTCAGCCACCTCCATATTTGATGTAAAGAGACCCGATTCCATCTCAACCTGTCATGAAACAAAAGATCATAAGCAGACCAAACACACTAAAAATCGCATCATTCTCCCTTTCCCATACCACCTCATCTTCCATTGTATGAAGAAATATGGATTTGTTTAAGAGAATCCAACAACTCCATATCTTGCATTAAAACAATATCAGGCACCCTATTTCTGTTTAAGTGAACTTTCCACTCAATGCTCTCCCCCTGAACTTCAATCTTCTCTACTACTTCAGCATTCTGACTTATCGATAACTAAAATAGTTGAGGAAATTGATGTTTCAAAGCCTCTGCCCCTAACCATCTGTTCTGCAAAAACTAAATCAAACTCCCATTACCGAATATCCACCTCAAACCCCCCAACACAAACCTTCTATTACTCACAATACCTTTCCACATATAAGATTGATATTTGCTCTTCTTCCCCTTGAAATCAGCTGAGATGTAGAATCAAAACCATACTTAGTAGTCAAGACCTTGTGCCAAAGTTGATCACCACAATTGCAAGACCTCCACCACCATTTTGCAAGCAATGCATGATTAACCAACTTAATCCGTCTTATCCCTATCTCGCACTCTTTTTTTGGTTTACACACTCGTTCCCACTTTACCAAATGAAATTTACGGCCATCTCCATGTGATCCCCACAATAAATTCCTCATTAGCTGATCTAGATGATTACACATTGATGATGGCATCGCCAACAAAGACATCATATATATCAACAAATTGGATAATGATGCTTGTAAGCCTTCTGCACAAAAACAGGTGTTTCGTCTTCCATATGTCTAACTTGAAATGGGCTCTCTGAATAACTAGATCCCACGCTGACCTTAGTAGTTTGGAATATAAAATCATAACCCTAAGATACTTGATCGAAAATGTTTCCACTTTTCATTAAAAAATATCAGCCCAATTTTTCATTACTTCCTGCGTACAAGAAATCCCCACAATTGAGGTTTTCATAAAATTAACCTTTAACCCAAAACCATTTCACAACATTGTAGCATATACTGAATATGCTCCACTTCTTCCACCTCAACCACACAAAACAACAAAGTATCATTTACATATTGTAGATGTGAAATAACCAACTCATCATTATCAGAAATTATAAAGCCATTAAAGCAATTTTTTGATGCCACATTAGAGACCATCAAACTAAAAGCTTCTGCTACCAAAGTAAAAAGAAAGGGAGAAAGTGGATCACCCTATTGCAATTTCCCTAAGAGCTCCAAAGAATCTTTTTGGGCTTCCATTAACCAGTACTGAGAAAAAACACTAGAAGTACATCCCTTAATCCACAACCTCCACTTTTCTCCAAATCCCATACACCTCACAATCTTCATCAACACTATCCATTCCACCTATCATATGCTTTCTCCATGTCTAATTTTAGCACCACTCCCAGGCGTTCTACTGATCTTCCTCGAATGAATGCATTCTTTTGTTTTTAGATTTCCTTGTGAAATTGTTTTATTGTTTGGTAACCTATTTGGAATCGATCATCTTGGAATCTAGAATGTAACTTAATTTGATTTGTTTATTACAAGGAAAAAGCTACCAATAGCTTGCCACCTATAATGAATAGTACTGTAGGTGGAATCCCAGCTGTCGGATCTTTATCGGGTGGTTCAAAATACATATCACTATCTGAATTTTAATATTTTTTCTAGAAATCAGATTGTGATAAAATTTTGAGCGTATGTACTAAAAAATTGGGTACACCAGAAAAAAGTATAGAAAACAAATAATTTCCAAAAAAACTATCAAATTAGACCCTGCCTCAAAATTTTCACTAGAAGATGTTTTGATGCCCAAATATCATCAATTGATCATCTCGACATTAAGATGCATTGACATGAGAAAAAATAGATTTTAAGTTTTGAAAATAATACATCTTGTTATGCATTTTTGAACCGTCGATTTTCAAGGTTTTCAAGTTTTCATAGATTTGCTCGATATACCCTATTTTTGAAGCTTTAAATTTTATAATTAAAGATGAAAATATATTTTAAAGCTATCACCAAAATTTTCATTATAGAAACCATATTTCTCGATTCTATTTGAAGGTGAACTCTAAATTTGATTCTTCATAGCCTCGACTCTATATAAACCGCACCCATATTTTAATTCGTCTTTCTTACCCTCCATTTAAGGGCATAAAGTCTGATTAGGTATTGATATCTCTATTTTGTAAATTATTTATCTTAAAGTGGTCTCCCTCTGTAGATTGATTAGGTATTGATATCTTTATTTTGTAAATTATTAATCTTGTGGTCTCTCTTTCTAGATTGTTAGAGGTTTTGATATCTCTATTTTTTGAATTACCAATCAATTCTCTCTCATATTCAAGACGAAGCATTGGGTGTAACACAAGTATTGCTTAGAAGGCAAGGCATCTCTCAATCAAAGTTTTTCCAAGCTTCTAAAAGTGGGTATCCTGCAAAAGCATGCTCAAAAAGCGAAGCACATAAAATTAAAATATAGAAGACCTGGTAATACAACATACTAAACATATATCAATGAAAGCAAGCTTTGTGCATCCTCAACGAAAACATATTATAAATCAGAAAAGTATTATAATGAGAAAAGTATTATAATGAGACCGTATATCTTTGGTACAACAACAAAGTAAGTCACAATTAATCTTGAAAATTAGATGTGAAAGTAGATAGGTACATTTATTTCATTGACCAAGCTCAAACTTCAAAAGAAATTTTTCGAAATTTGTGAATCAGATTTCACATTAGATGGTTTAAGTAATTGTAACCTCATTGTAGAAAAGATAAATGGTATCATTTGTATATAACCCCTCATAAACATGGAAAATTGCAAATACTCAAATTAAACTTTTTAGACAATCACTCACCAACCAATTTTTTTTTTTTTGTTTACAGCTTTTACCCCAAAATCAAGTTTTATAACAAATACCTCAAAATAAAAAGCTGTATTTTTTTAGATGAAAATGGCCTTTATAATAATGCCGGACAGGAAAGAACAAGAGCCCAATCAAGGGAACCTTTTGCCAGGTTGCTCTTTACCTACCGGAGCCCATCACGAGATTGCCGGATCGCAAAAGAAACATAAGCCAAAAGTGCTGGATCGAGTACGGAAAATGCTAGACTGCATGAAAACAGATCAAGACACAACTGCTGGTCCAAGATATTGATGTGCCAAACCGTGTGAACAAGTTGCCGGACCTTTTGGTTAGAGTGCCGAACCATAGGCAAATCACGTTGAGAAATGTGATTTTTTGACTAAAGGGTATTTTTGTCTATAAAATTATGATTTTTTTGACATGGGAGGATATTTACTATAAAACTTGGTTTTGAGGTAAAAGTTACAGGAAAAAAAAAAAAAAGTTCGAAGGAGGTTGTCTAAAAATATCTATTTTTGAGGGGTATCTACAATTTGAGTGCAATTTGCATACGGATGCATCCGTAGGTGTAGAGGTAAAGTGCTCCTTCAAATTTTATCATGGTATATAATTTTGATGTAAAATGTTCTTAGGATTATCTCAAAATTTATGTTTATATCTATTTATAAAATTTTAAATTTAAAAAATAGTTAAAATCAAGTAGATCTATAAACACATGAAAATCTTGAAAATAGATGATGCAGATAATATATTATAAAATACATTATTTTTGAGACTTAAAATCTTTTTACTTTTCATAATCATACATTTCCATGTCGAGATGATCAATCAAAAGGTTTTTCAACATTAATACTACCTTTTTCGATGGATTTTTGAGGGGCATCCGTAGTACTACATGATAAAGTAGCATCCTTATATAAACTTTTTCCCTACAATTTTCCTTCATATATATTCATAGATATCAAATATCATGTGTTTACAGAACTCTCACTCAAAGATTGATGTTATCAGGAGTGCCATGCACAACATTTAGATTGATATCATCAGGAATCCACAACATGTAAAGCAAAAAATAACAAAGCAAAATAAAAAAAGAGAGAACATAAAAGAAAAGTAAAGGTGCACCTATAGGCTAAGTTCCACCTATTAACACAAGAGCAACTCTCACTATAAATACAAACAGTTCCTGCAGGCAAGCATCAACTATGTCATGGCTTTCTTTATCAGCTTCCCCCTCAGGAGCAGCTTCAGTCCCTTCATTTTCCGCTTTCTTCTCCTTTTTGGAGCTTGATGTCCTTACAGAATTACTTTGGGCTCAGTTTCTAGGGTTTCCATGGCTTTTCGCCTTTCCTTATTAGTGCATATCCCGTAGGTATGTCACACGTTCAGTGCGTTTAAAGCTGGCACATTTAAAAGAAGAAACATGCTCTCTCTCTCAAGAGCTAAAGAGAGATTAGAATGGATGAGATGTGATTTTCAGGAGCGAGAGGAGAATGCCATGTTTTTTCTGAGCTATGTATGTGTCCTCCGTGGAAGACGAGAGCAAAAGCTAGAGAGAAAAATAACCAGTATGGATTGAACCGATGTTTACTTGCTCCCCCACATGTTAGGCTAGGAACAACTTCTGGAAAGATGGAGAAACTAGAGAAAGAAAGAGGATGAAATTGCTTCAATACATTGCTATAATGCTTTAATTTCATTCTTCCTCATTGTTGTCCACGGTTGATAAAGGAGAGGGAACGACAGTGCTACTTCCTTTCTTGCTTCTGCAGAGAGAAGAAACAAGCAGCGAGATACAAAGCTATATATCCAAAGAAGAGAGGCATGCATCAAAGACAAATACATCCCCTTGTCCAATTCCGAAAGAATATTACAATCTAAAATGAGACAGAACACATTACAAAAGGGAAAACATACCTCATATGATCACACAAGCCTTAAATAGCACAAACCAAAAAAAGAACACTGTATTGAACCTACTACCACTGAGTTATAAAGAGAATACAAAAATTTTCAGGTCAGTTGGAATTGGTTTTGCCAACAGCATGGTACTCGTAATAGTGTCATGGTTTCACTGTTACAGGTATTAATGTCCATGCTGTTGGACATTAATTTCTGCTGGTGCTAGCGGGAAGTCAATATATTAGCAAAAGAGTTGGAGAGAGAAAGAGCAGAGAGAAAAAAGAAGACTTTAGCAGCTAATGAGGCAAGAAAGTTCATGTTCATGTTCCATCCGATTGTAGTTGACATAAAAAATAGTAACCAAAGTATAATAAGCATGCATTTACCAGAGTAATAGGCATCCATTAGATTATCATCTGATATAAAAAATAGTTGCCATGGGAATTAAAGATAGCTTAAACTTTTTTTTGGGTACATAAAGATAGCTTATACTTGGAAGACAGTAGCATGCACTTGATCAGCATACAAGTACCGTACCTTCATTCGGTTCAAGTCACTTATAAAAACTCAAAAGTCAAAATATAAATCAGCTCTGTAATCATAGCCCAGACTAATAATGGGAATCAACCTTTACATAAAATATCATCTCATTAGATATATGTTCTTGGAGAAAAAGAAGGTTTTCAAGAACTCAAACACTGTTTTCTTTCCGGAGTTCTTTTCTTTTTCAGTGATTAAGTTAAATAAACATGATATGAAAGTTTTTTAAGTGTTTATTGGCATAAGAGATAAACCCAATAAATTTGCTGTAACCTTTTACAAGAGAAACATAGATGCGCAAAACCCAAAAACCAAAAGCACATGTAACCAGATCAGACCAATGGGTACTTAATTGGCCAAAGACCTTGGTTCAACTAGTTTTTTGCAAAAGGGGAAAAGAAAAGGTTTTTACATGATTGTGTGCAAAATTTGCCTAGGTCATGGGCATAAGGGGGAAAAAAGAAACAGTCCTACTCAGTAGTGTGAGAATCTTTAAAGGTCACAGACACCAAACAGAGGCCTTTGCTCATGAGCAACTGCATTACGAGGCTGTGTCCGACTCCATCAGCTTCGCAATCTTTTTGTTGAGGGGATTATAAGATGCATTATAGAGTTCAAAGTGATTGAATCCCTGTTCCAGCATCAAATGTTAGTCGTGGCAAATAATTTTGAATTCATATATTTTTGTTTTGAATAATGTGAAACATTCTCTCGGGTGATTGCTTGGTTTCTAAATCTTCTCAAATAAAAAACTAGAGAATGAAACCTTGTGTCATACTTAGTTGAACTGCTTTGTTTCCGGTATCTCCAATTTAATTCCTTGTTTTCTTTTTCTGTTCACTCAGTCATCCATTTCATAATTAGGTTTTAAAAAATGTACCAAAAAGGAAAAAAAAAAAGGTTTTGGCTAGTTTTGATAATATAAGAGTAATAAAATGAGAGGCATTATTGCTTTAGTGTGAGAGACAAGTTGCACTTTTGAGTGGAAACTTGGGCCATGTACATTACTAAATTTTTTAAACAGAAAGCACTTAATCCATAGTGTGAGACCACATGCCTCATGATCAGAAAATGGTTATATAATAATAAGAAACAAAACAAAGAATATTTGAAAATTCCAAGTGAAAAAATATATAAAATAAAAAATAAAATCAATGCTCGGATAGACTAAATTGCAGTCAAGTGGATCCTGACCTAGAGGCCAGATCAAGGATAGGAAATGAATGCTTAAGAATCAGTGTTAGAAAAGAGTGACCGACTGTCATTAAAGAATCTAATACAAACTCAAAGTTCGTACACAGATATTGAGTGCAGGGGCTTTTTGGTTATAGTTGAGGGATGATACAGGGTTTCAAACCATTTACATATCCATTTTGAATAACTGGCCTTAGTCCTTTCACAATTTCTGTAATAGCATTGCGCTCAATAAGCGCAAAATTAACAATAAAATAACAATAACTACAAACAAAACACGTGCAATTAAGAAGAATGAGCAGGAAATAACCAAAGTATCCGTAAACCATGCACAACAAATAAAAACCTATCCTACCATGCCTTTTTTTATGACCCCAAGTCCCTCATTATATTATTCAGTAGAGGAGTGAGGAGGGGGTCGAAAAGCTTCGATCTTGAGGAATTTTGAGATTATCAAGAGGGGCGTCTCATTGAGGAGGAACTTTGATGTTTTAAGTTTGAACGGATGGGTTTTGGGGGTGAAAACTTGGTTGCAAAAGAAGGGATTGGCTGGTCTTTTGGGTTTGAATTGAGTCAATTTTGAGGTGAAAATCTGGTTACAGGAGAAGAGAAAGCAGGTGGAGTAGAGGGCCTTTTGGATTTGAATCTATTGGTTTTTTAGGGGAAAACCTTGTTGTAGAAGGAGAAGAGATAGCAAGGGGAATGAGTCCTTTTTCAGGTCTTGGAAGTGGAGTGGTTAGGGCTGAAGCAACAACATCATGACAAGGATGATGATTGCTAGCCATCTTTGATCACAGTGTATCTGCTCAATATAGTCCAAATAACTGTCTAGAGAAAGAGGACCAAATTCCAATAAATCTCAATAAGGTACGATAGAGAGCTCCAAATCAATATGCAGATGAGCGCTAGTGAGAGCCATGAAAGTAGTCCTAAGAAGTTAAACTAGGACAAAATGAGTTATATGCAATGACCCATCTACCATATCAATAGCCAAGCACTAAGTTGGAGAAACCCACATGGGAGAAACGAATTTGAACCCATGTATTACTTGATTTTGAACTATGGAGAGAGACAGCAATGGCACAATCAATAGGACAGAGAAGAAATGGTGAAATAAAAGAGCCAAGAGTCAAAAATGGCCAAATCAAGAACATGATACCCTACTCCAAAAGCTCAAGGAGACCTTAAAAATCTAATGGGAAGATGAGTTTGGTAGAAACCCGATTCAGGTAAACAAATTCTGCCCACGTAGTCCACCATATGAGTGAGAGAGAGAGAGAGTTGTTCGAATCAAAACTTGAAGGAATTGAGCGAAGATCAGTATAGCAGGAGTACCTGGTTTGAGTAATCTCGGATCAAGTTTGAAGAGAGAAGGAGAATGGTGATTTCACCACTTGTCTTGTTGCTCTATAACCACCCCAATAAATCAGCTTGAGATGGTGCTTCCAGAAAATGGTTAATAATGACAATGGTTGTGATGAGTTTGATTAACAAATTACTGCCCTGAGACCAAATCATCGATGAATGTATTACTCTCCATGATCAAGAAACTATACAGATCAAAGCATGCAATAACTAGCATTAAAGTTCCAATAAACCAGATGTCAGTCATAAAATCCAATGAAAATAAATTGTAAAATAAACTGAAAATAAACCAAATCATCAATGAGTCCAATGTAAAATAAACATAGACCCACCAAAAAAAGTTACTGTAAGATAAACCACTAAAAAAACCGAAAATAAATAAATAATCGAACTACAAAACAGAAAATACAATGAAAGTCCAACAGAGAAAACAAAATTCATCATGCCTGTGTTTAGGGCTCTGTCTTGGAGCTCTGGTTTAACGAGCTCTGTTTTGTAGGGCTCTGATTTAGAAGGCTCTGGCTAGGGCCAACGGGGAAATTATCTATTTTCTAAGAACATAATTTTTAAGAAATTATTTTCACTTTAGCTAAACATGCCCCAAAGGACAAGTTTCTTATTACGCAGAATATAAACCCGAGAAGAATCTGATATTCAACTCAGGCTTAACCCTCCAAGCACCAACTTAAAAATATCCTAGTTCAGGGATCTTCCATTGGAGTACTGGGTGTTTCAATTTCTTTTATTTATATAATGGTTTTCAAAATTTCAACAAACCCAATTTACATAAAATAGTAGCCTTTTGACCACAACTCATCTTCTCCTACCTTGCTACTGTCATCTATTTGCTCACAAGCCTGAACTTGTTTCCCTCCTCCCTCAAATTGCTACTGCACCTCATTTGTTCACAAGCCCGTTTCCCTCTTCCCTCTAAATGGAAGCCTAGCTCCTCTAATGGACTAATCTCATCAGCTTCTCTTCCAATCAGTCTTCTATTGCATTCCTATTCAACTATTTTGCCAAAAGCTGTCATGCATGGTGAATGCTCTCCACAGCCTCTCCAGCTCAAGGCATTAGAAAAGATTTCTGATAAATTATCACGGCCTAAATGACCATGATATTTTAGTTTCGATGCCAGTGTTTTAAAAAGCGGACCGCCCAGCGTCTAGGTGGTCCAGAAGGCCTGGCCAAGGCCTAGGTGGCCAAATTAGATGGATATCCCTAGGTGCCTGCCTAGGTGCCTGGGAACCCACCTAGGCGGCCGGCTGCCCAAGGCCTACGTCCCGCCTAGGGGCAAAAATACGGCTCCTTGAGGGTATTTTTGGGTCATTTTTTTAATACTAAAGGAGCAAAATTGTGGGTTTTAAATAGTGAAAACCCATTAGAGGCTATTTTAAATAGTGAAAACCCCAAAATAATTTTTTTTTCAACTGGGCTGCCCAGGTTCTAGGCGCCCGCTTAGGCGCTGGGCGGCTTGGACCCCCAGACCGCCTAGGTGCCGCCTAGCGCTTTTTGAAATACTGTTCGACACATGGTCCAACTGTACATATTGCCCTCTACTTCCGCACCATAATATGATCTATCCATGCAAAAGACTTATTCGGCTAACATTGAATAAACTGTGTACCAGATATCATATGCTAACGCAAACAGAATGATGACATACAACATTTCTATTCCTTGCTCATCTATGACACAGAAGAACTAAAGACCGTAAGGTCTGCCAATGGACCCCAATAATAGTTTATAAACAATGAAGTAGCAATCAACATCTAAACGCATGATATACCATTATAAGAAAGTGACGTCAGCCCGTGACAAGAAACACAACAATTATTTCTTAGTAACAAAGTAGCAATCTGTCCATTTATATTTCATACTTTTCTTTCTCAATCTATTCATTTTAATCTGATAGATGTGATTCATGCCCATCTCCATACTTAAAATTCAGCAAATTTTTACACATGGGTTTCTTGTGGAGTGGGGGTAATTGGAGTAGCGAAATCCATTCTGTATAATAGATGTGATCCATGCCCATCTCCATACTTAACATTTAGCAAATTTATACATGGGTATCATGCGGAGTGGTGGTAATAGGACTAGCAAAATCTATTTGGTATGATGCAAAATACTTTGTTACCTGAAAGAAGAGCCTGGTAAAACTGTGACTCTGATTGCATGAAAGGACCTTACTATTAAATAACTACAATAGTTATGTTTGGAGAACAAGGGGCCGTAGGAATATATTAGGTACATATGGATGCAATGTCAAGAGATATTGGATGGCACATTGAAAAGGGGAAATGCGTCCACCACTTAGAAAGCAAGTAGCATAAATGTGCACCCTTTTAAGATCAAAATTAGGATAGTCATTGGAGAAGGGCTTAGGTGTCATGCTCTGTCAGATAGTAGGTTATCATGCTTCTTTGGATACATGTTTCAGGGTGGCAAATATGTCTGTTCTATTCCCTACACAGGTGGAACCATTGAACAATCTTGCTAATTTTCTCATCCCAACAATGAGGCATGATTCATTTAAATTTTTGTTGCAGGTATGGTCCATAATATGGTAAGAAACAAGAGGCCAACCCCTTTGGCGAGCCTATCTCATGGCCAACACCTGGCAGATTAGGGAGGAGAGAAGCAAAAACATTAAGTCCTCACAGAAAGTAAACTTCTTTTTTTCCGACAAGGTTACATAGAAATGGAACTTGAGATGTTGTGCTATGAAAAACCAGCAGCTATCGTCTTGACCCAAGCCCGATTCCTCAGAAACTAAACTTATTGAAGTGAGTTAGTGGGAAACCATGAGTTGGGTGCTGCAACGACCATCTTTGAAGGGAATAAAGCCGAGGAACCTTCAAAAAATGCTAGACCTGAGTCACTGGGGACTATAGGATGAAGACCTACTAGTAAACTTGAGCCAACTTAGGATAAAACTAAAATTTGATGCATAAGCTAAAAGAAGCTCAGACCAGAAGGCTATAAAGGAGTAATTTGGAATATTAATGGTGACATCATGAAATGCTATGCCAGTTCATTGGGGGAGGGAAGTCCACAATGGCAGACAAGGCACTACATAGTTATAACAAAAATTTAGAATGCTAATGGTGACATCTTGAAATGCAATGCCAGTTCATTGGGGGAGGGACCTCCACAATGGGAGAAGACAAGGCATTACATAGTTATAACAAAAAAAAAAAGGCTTTCATTTTAAAGATGGTTTCTTGGAAGTTCATTCTTGATGGAGATACCCTTATTACCACTCGGTCGTGTACAGGTGTGTAGGAGATCCTTGAAGGATAGAGGGTATTCTTGGGGACATTAGAGAAGTGAGCATCAGTTTGGATATCAGATCCATTCAGAATCGTAGGAAAGAGAGTTCTATCACAATCCTAAGAAAGAGAGTACCTAGCAGATAGCTTAACAGTAGGGAAGTGAGACCAGGGAATATGGAGATAATAGACTTCGTAACTCCTTAATCAAGATATGTGTATTCTGTGTTTCCATTCTTGCTAATTTAATGTTATGTTTATCACTTATCAAAAATGGAAAAGAAGCAATCATCCTCCAAATGCATGCTATACTCATGAAGTACGATATTTGGGGCACATATCATCCCCTTAATGTAACAGGTGCTTGAAGCATTGTGAGAAGAGCTCTAGAACTTATCAACATCCATAATACTTTTTGATATAAAACATTTTCTCGTAAAAGAGAGATAAGCAAAAAGTAAATCACCTACTTACACTAGAGATCATTCAGTTTCATTGAGGCAACATGGCAAGAAATTCCATTGAACATGTAAGAATATAAAAGACAATAAAAAACATACTTTAACAAGAAGCCAAATAACAACAGGAAAGCCACAAGAGCTGTCCCCAAGCTGATTGTTAGACAAGATGAATCATCCTAGACAGTGTCCATCTATAGTTGGAATAATATTGGTTCACGAAGGGATTACTTCTTCGTACTTTGATTTAGAAGTGCATAGGTTTGCCTCCAAGACAATTGTTTCTGCATGGGAAATACATTAAAGAATTTCAAAGGAACCAAATATCTAAGGTACTGCACACCTGATGAAGATTACTTTCAAGCCAATGACAAATGCATTCTCTTCATAAAATAATACCAATTAGGGAAAATTTGGCGTTCAAAGCCAAAATTTTATTCACTTAAAGTAAGAGAAAATCAGAGCAAGAAAGAATACAAATATCAAAGCCCATGTGAGTAACCTAGATGAAGTTTGACAGTCCATCTCTTCTATTGCAAGAACAGAGCTTCTCTGGGGCATAACTCTGTCACAAAAATCCAATTCTAACAAGCTCAACCAAAGTCTTCTTTCCATACATACTTAAAACTAAATTGTTTTCATCAACAAAGAAGGGTGGAGTGAATGTTACATAATTATGGCTAGTAAATGCACAAAAATATCAATCAAAGAAGACAGAAAATATCATAAGTTATAAATTTCTACTTTTCAGTAGGTAAATTCATTTTTAACAATGGGCTTTACACCTGTGGCCCTTAAGCCCTGATAACAAATCAAAACCTAGACCAAACGTAAAATTACAGCTCTAACACTCAGTCCTCATTATGTTCTACTCCATAACTTCAATCGTCGTCACTCGACTCACCATGACCATTACCATCTTCTCCTGAAATTTCTTCATATGGTTCACTGGTATCGAAATCCACATTGTCAAGACTTGAGCTATCTGCTTCCTGTCTTGGAGATATCAACTCCTTTAGTCCTTTACCTCTATAAATAACCCCCGTTCTCATCACATAGAAATACTTGTCCCTTATTGCCACAAGAGGATGGGGATCAACAAGCTTTCCTCTTTGATATGCTTCTTTAAGTGCAACAGTGGTAGTCTTACATTTTAGAGATAGATAAAAAATACCAGGATACCTGGTAAAAATCCTAGTAAATTTGTGGGGCAAATTCATTTCTTCTCTCATTGCTCTCAAGTAATTCCTCTTGGTTTTCTTGTGAATTGTCAGACTTAGTAATTCATGTAACACCCCAACAACCCGTTTCTCCATTAAATCACTATTTGGATCAATTTTTGATGAGTCTTCATAAGGTGAAATGTAAGGAAGCTTTTGAAACTCATCCATCCATGCTTGCACCTTCTTTTGTAAACCATAACCTCTTGGAAAATTCAATGGAAAAGCCAAGCTCATACCTTTCTTAAACCCTCTATATGAAGAACTCGTCTCAAGCTTCTCACTCCTCTTTTGCAACTCAGATACTGCAAATTCTTCGCGCCACCGAGACAACGCAATGGCCAATCGACCATTGGGTTGCTTAATCATTCGAAATTGATCAGAATAATTGGGAAGAATCGTCTTAACAAAGTCATAAGGAAGACCCATATCCCACTTTAGATAATCTATGGCCTGTAAAGGAATGCTCCTACTACTAAGCATCATCAACAACCTACACAATCTCTCTACCAAATCAGGTTCATGAGTTTTATAGATTCTTTGCTCTTGTTCATCAAGTAAAAGAGCAGTCTTGGTTAATCTAAACCATGGGACATTGTATTTGAGTCCTCGAAATTCTTCGAAAATGGTTGGGTATCTTCGAATGAATCTAAGAACTGGTATGGTGAGACCCAAATGCTTTTGCCTATCAGAGAAGGAAGTAGAGCTCAAGCAACCTGAAGAGCTCCTTTTAATGGCGTCTTTGATAAGGGAAACGGCTTTTAGATCGGTTTCATTGTCGATTATGTGATCTAGGCCCCTGTTCTTCACCCATTTGAGCCTCACCTTGACCAGACCACGTTTCTGAGAGAAACCATGAAAGAGATTTTGAGAGAGAAAAGAACTAAAGCTAGTGCTTCTGAATCCCATGAAAGAAGAAAGAGAGGGAAGCTAGTGGGTTGCACTCCACATTGGGATTTCTATATCGGGTTTCGAGGGAGGAACTGATGCATTCGAAGAGAGAAAGTTGGAACCGTGCTCAAAACCCGGAGCTGGGACCCGACTCGGCGCGTTTCTATTAGGGGTGTAGCGGGTCGGGTATGGGTCGCGTCTATCTAGGCCCGGGCTCATATCCGAATATATTCGGGTTCAGGTCCGGGACCCAGACCCAACCCATCAGGTCCAAAAGTTATACCCATACTCGTGCCCATCGGGTCTCGGATCTATCCCGTCGGGTCTCGGGTCTGGTCGGGCCCATTACCACCCTCACCATGAGCTTTTTATTTTTTTTTTATTTTTTTTTATCATCATATGCCTAAATTATTGACAAAAGATCACAATCACCCACTATTAGATTTTTAAGTCATCTTATTTGTCGTTTAATGGCTAAAGATGATTATGAGTTTTTATTGTATATGATTCTTAAGACACCCAAATGAATAGGGCTTGACGTATTTTATCTCCAACAGTTTACGGGTACGGGTTGAGTCCAATCGAACCCACACCCAAATTCGAGTAGTGTTCGGGTCCAGGTTTTGGACCCAGACCCAACCCGCTGGGTCCAAATGTTGGACTCATACCCGAACCTCCAGGTCGTTCTAGGTCCATTGCCACCCTTAGTCGTTGTGCTCACTCTTAGTAGAGGATGGAGAGAGAGAGAGAGGGAGACTATTGTCAGCAAGTTTCCGTTTAAAACACAATTTTTTTAATTTTTATATTTTTTTAGATCTACTCAAAATTCCGAGTTTTATGAAAGATCTTTAAAACTTGTATTTTTTAATGGAACTGATATAAATTTGCACTTTATTTTTTCAAAAAGCTTATTTTCCATTACTTTATTTCTTCATTAACTTAATATTATTGAATTTTAGTTTAAAGATAAACACATTAACAGTAGGAGTAAATTTAGACTCCTAAATTAACAAAAAAGCCTATAAAAAATTTCACCAATAAGTTCTCTCAAAAAATGCATAAAATACAAGCAATACATTCCTCAAAAATAAGATATCAAAACAATTGGATTTCAAAATAATAGGTAGAGTTAGAAGAAGAGTAACCTAATGAAAAATATTTTTTTTCTTTAAACCCAAAGTATCCTTATGAAGAATAAGAGAGATTCAATGCTACTAAAGATTTAGGTAGCCAGGAGTTTATGGTGATATTGGAATTTGTTGATGTATTTTATTGCTTGAATAATATCATATTTCTTTTTTCTTTTTTTTTTCATTGTTGTATACAATATACTATGGGTCTTTTTTGTTTTTTTGCTTTGATATACCTTGATTTTAATTTATGGTTATTTATCAATGTAGTTCTTGTGTTTAATATTAGGGAATATATAGAGCCTAGGTTCTAACCAATCAAATTAGAGCCTACGTCAAAACTTTCACTGGAAGAGGTCGTTTTGATGCCCAAATATCATCAAATTGATCATCTTGACATCAAGATGCATGGACATGAGAAAAAAATAGAGTTTAAGTTTTGAAAATAGTGTATCTTGTAACGTATTTTTGGACTATCAATTTTCAAGATTTTTAATCTTTCATAGATCTGCTCGATTACTACTATTTTTGAAGCTTTAAATTTTATAAATAAATATGAAAATATAATTTGAAGATTTCACATAACTTTTCAGTATTGAAACCATATATGTCGACACTATTTGAATGTGCACTTTTTGATTGTTTAGAGTTGGGCTCCATACCAACCGCACCCTTAATATTATTGTTGTTGTTTTATTTTATGGTTCCAATATATCTATGATGTTTTGTGTTGAGACAATAGAGTAAGCATTGTAGTTGTATTTATTGAAAGTTTAGACAATAAATTGTCAAGTATCACTCTAGTGACACTATATGTTGATTAATAGCTTTATTATATCTACACAATGATCGCAAATCATAATTCTATATTATATTATCTTTACATATCCTATTTTTTCATGGGAAAAGTTTCTATACTTCCCCTAAAGCATAGAAGATCTATGCTTCCCTTACAATCCAGCCGTCCAATTTTGATCAAGAGAGCCAGTCACCTTTTGATCTTCGATCCAACGTCTCAAAGTATTTTATTTTTAGCTTTTTTTTAATATAAATTGTATGAATATGAAATTTAGTACGTGCCATCTTCTCATTAGGGCGCACCTATAAAAAATATTAAAAATAAGTTTTTGATAAAATATAATGATCAAAATACCCCTTGAAACTTTCAAAGGTATTTTGATCCTTTTATTTTATTGGAAACATTTTTTTTATATTTTTCTCTAGTGCAAGTTTAATAAAGGATTGAACGTCCAAAATTTGATGTCAAAATAGTTTATAGAAAAAAAATTTTAAAAATAAAATAGTGTAGAGACATGACATTGTGATTGGGGCAATCTTAGCCCTCCATCCAGAATGGACGGTTGGATAAGGGAACGTACATAAGTTTTATGTTGTATGGGAAGCATAGAAAGCTTATCCTTTTTCACCCCATTTATCGAATCCGAGATATTTATGATTTTATAACTTATCCTATTTTTTGGTGATCCGTATTTTTTTCATAGCTTTTCTTCGGACTTTTTGAAATAAATCGATTTATTGCTAATATTATGGTTTGCCCGTATTGCTAACTGGGTGAGGGAGACAGATTGGATCATTAGAGCAATATTATCGTACGATCCCCCTAAAACTTCACTAATTTTATTTGAGAAAATATTAAAAAAGGGTTAAAGTCCTTTGTAAGTTTATAAAAGGGTGCAGTTTGTATAGAGCCGAGGCTCTATACAATCAAAGTAAAGCCTATCTTCAAATAGTGTCGAGAAACGTGGTTTCAATTATGAAAATCTTTGTGATAGCTTTAAATATTTTTTTTATCTTTAATTATAAAATTTAAAGCTTAAAAAATCATGTAGATCGAGCACATCTATGAAAGTTTAAAAATCTTAAAAATTGATTGTCCAAAAATGCATTACAAGATACACTATTTCCAAAACTTGAAATAGATTTTTTGTCATGCCCAAGCATCTTGATGTCGAGATAATTAATTTGAAGATATTTGCGCATAAAAAAGAAATTTTTGAAGTGGACTCTAATTTGAATGTTTTGAGCCTGGGCTACATATAAAATTTTCCTTTTATATGAAGGGGGTCAAATATTACAACTTCGCACGCTTTTAGATTTTTAGAAAAATCAGATAGTTATTTAAAATTACCTTTAAAATTTTCTCAAATTACCCTTGTAATTTATGTTATTTCGGAATATGCCATTTACTGTTAAAGTACAACACAATGTTTCATAGAAAAATTTTAATTTCGTCTTCCTAAAGCTAAACTGGGCCAAAAAGGTCATTTTGCTATGGCAACTTAGATTGAGCAAAAAGACCAGGTTGCCCCTAACAATTAAACGAAAGTTGCATTTATAAAGAAAAAAAGTGGGAAAATTATCGTTAATATACCTTTATTTTAGTAAAATTGAGAAAAACCCCTAACTTTTAAAAAGCTCGTCTACACCATTTTTCACAAATTTCGGATTTTTTTGGACCAAAATGACCTTCACGGTTGTCTTTTTACCGTAATACATTTTAAGCTTTACAATAATTAAAACACTGTAAAAAATTCAAAAAGTATTAAGTTAATTTAAATACGATAATAGTTTGAATTATTGTTATGATAATTTAATTACCGTAATATGTGGGGAAGTCTTTACCGTATTTTTATTACCGTAATACTTTTCCGGTCGATTCCAAACCCCTATTGATTGAAAAGCTTCAAATCGAAACTAATATCAGAGATACCCCTCTCCTCCCTTCACGTTAGTCTTCTTCGGAGCTGTATTTCTCAAAAAATCCATGTTCTCATGAGAGCACGATGTGGATCAACTCACTCACTCAAAAATACATATTTAAGAATGTTTTTGTTCTAAAATTTGAGAACCATATAAAAATTACTAAATTATTTTTGAAAGAATTGAATTGTGAGTTATGTGACACTTAAATCTAGCTATTGAAAATTGGATAGTTTCTATTCACTCTTGAAGTGTTAGGTTTTTCTAATATACAGAAGAATTTACTTGGAAAACTTCTTTTGCTAAAATTATTCTATAAGTAGTAGAGATTATATCCTAAAAACTTGAGATTTGAAAAATATAGCTAGTGTCACGCCCCAAGAATTTACAATACTGATATTCTTGAGAAGTGACAGTCAAAACATATATACATTGCTTGATAGGACAAATTTACAGTGGCGAATTCTTACAAGGTAACAAAAGAAAGTTTAAGCACAATTACAATATCTTCCCAAAGTTGATCCTAACGACCACTCAAAATGAAACCGCTTCCTGAAAAATGTTTACCATAGTTTGATGAGTTTGGCTACTCAGTAAGTGATCATCATAATCCTAAAAATAATCATGGTTGAAAGTTATCAATATTTCAAAAAGGAGGTCTACTAGCAGAAACGCATTAACAGTTTCACTTTAAAAAATGCGTAATTAAGTATAATCCGAACAATAGAAATGCATATAACATTTTAACAGGAGTGTATAATTCAAAAGATTTCACAAATTACCCTACTGGCGTCCCAAGTAGGTCACCTATATACCCCATCAGCGTCCTGATGGGCCCA